ACACTGGGAAAAAGTCTTTTGGCTACAAAAGATGTTCATATTGGTGAATAGTATTTTTAAAAGCATTTTGAACTCTTCATTTTTTGAAATGGCAAAATAATTTTGCTCAAAAGCTCTTCTGGGCTCTTGCCCGACGGACTCCGTGGGAGCATTTTGAAAAGTTTTTAAAGTTATTTTGGTGATCATCGTGATGAGTTCTACTAGTCCTAAAAGTGAAGAACATTTTAGACCGGTATAAATGAAGAACAGAGAATACATAGTACCGACAAACGCTCGAATACAGACGAAGCAGAAAATATCAATAAATTCTGGTTCAGTTCACCTTCTAAGACTACGATTGTTCAGGTGCTTCTCAAATTATGAACTTACCTTTCCTGAAATCTTCTAGAATATTTCCCGATTAAATAACGTGCGAGAAAATGAAAATCGTAGCGTAGAGAAAAATAATACACTAAAATTTTGGAAACATCAGAACAGATGCATTGCTAAAAAAACTATTACCGTTTCTTTTTCTTGGTGAAAAGATATTTTTCTCCATTTGGAGTACTCTTTTTATGTGATTAAAATGGCATAAAAAACAAATTATTTATCAATTTTCTTTCAGTCTATAGGCATTGATTTTGCCAAAACTTTCTTTCGAAAATTACCAATAAAAATTCGTACTAATTGTTTGTTCTGTATTGTGAATTCCATTTTTATGTGCAAATATATATAGCAGAATTTTTATTAGAAAAAAAAAATAGAATGTTTTTTTTCTTCTTCAAAAGAACTTTCTTTGTGCATGCATGATATGGCTAGATGAGCGGTTTATTTTTATTTGTCCTTATAAAAAGTACTTATGTATTAATGTTTTTCCGTCGCTTGCAAATTATATTATTATTATTTTGTTCATTGTGTTTAAGGCACGTCGTTAATTTTGCACCAAATCGTGTGTATTTAGCATTCTACTAATGCCAGAATTATTAAAAGAAACTGAAATTTTATATATCATCGTTTTTTCCTCTTAATGTCAAAAAAAAAATTTTTTTCATTCATTTACCGATAATTAAAAATATCCTGCAAACTTACGAAATATTTCCTTTCATAGAAAATACAAAGTACTCATATAAATTTGTATAGTCATTTCTCATGTATACAGATTGAATTTTTCGATAAGGTAATCATTTGTCCTCCAATGTTTTCCTCAAAGTAATAGTTGTATGACAATAATCTTCTTCTATTTCGAACGACATATCACCTCTTTTATTAAATCGACGTCCTTTTGCTTATTTTTAATGGACATGCATGATTATTAGATTGAATTTTCTAACATTTCAGTTCAGCAAATCACATCAAATTTTATTCTGGTAATATTCAATGATTTGAAAATTAACCATAACACTATGCAACTAAGATCAAATTATTATCTATGTACTTAGGATTTCTATGATTGTCCTACTTTGAACTGTTCAGTTTAAGACATCATTATCAATTTTTTTTCTCATGATTTTCTACTTTACAGGCGGTATCGAAAGGTAAGACGGCACAAAAATAGTGTTTAACAACCATCGATTATAGACAGCGTGAATCCTATCACTTCATGATACATGAAGCAACTGTTGTTAAATGTGGGGTCATCATTGTGTAACAACAAAAATTAAAATGATTCGTTTCAACCAGTATCATATCTTCTATATCCCCTTTGAAACTAGTTTTTTTTTACGAAATGACAACTAATTAAATAAAATCACAATGGATAGATATCATTCATGATGAACATTAAAAGAAACAAAAATAGCAACAACAATTAGGAAAAGCGCTTTACTCTTATTCTATAGCAAACTCTCAGAATAAAATTTATCTAACATATACTTCAAAATTTATCTATCAATATAACTAAAAAAATGGCAATACACCTTTTTGCAAAAAAATAATAGAAAAATTGCTACTGAAGTATGATTTACAATAAAATACTGCTGAACGCTTGACACTGTTATGCATAGATAGAAAATGAAAAAAAAAATTAAAGATGCGTGAAACCCACATGTATGTTTTGTTAAGACGTGTATATTCTACTTAAAATAAGTTCCGTGACTGAATAAAATTTCAAGTTACATCCACAACTTCTAAATGATATGATTTACTGAGTATGTCTAACAACTGTATGTATTTACTTGAATACACAAGTGTAAGTTCATATCAGTCAGCTGTGTTTAACCATTAAAAACGACACTGTCCAATATCGAAGTAATATCACAGTTCAAGCCATATTTTACACTAAATCATGGTTATACTGATGTTGTGCTTGAACATTAGCCAACTATTAGACATTTGGCTATTTTTCTAGCAAAAACAAGTTTCTAAGAATGCCAGTGTAATTTACACTACAAAACAATGTTACAAAATAAATTTTTAAAATAGTAAAGGTCATCGTTTTAACGTTGTATTATTATCATTAGAAGAAATAATTCACTACGTTCAGATCTGAGAACGACGATATATGAATACTTTTTATAAATGCTCGGAAAAATAATTTTCTTCTTCGGAATTCGGATGATATTGATTACTATCCGTCGGATAACTTTTAGTCTGCTGTTGTTGTTGTTGAATACTTTGCTTATTACTGTCATCCTGTTGCTCATTGCCGCCACTGTTGGCTGTGGTTACAAGATCGTTTGCTGGTGCTAAACCACCATGAGTCACATCTCCACTTTGAATTTGAGCCGTTATTTCTTTTTGAGAATGTGCCGGAGAAGATGTAGATGACGTTGATTTTTTTCTCTCTTTTATCACTACTTCATTCTTATCCGGTATTCTTTCATGAATTGGTAGTGGTGATCGTCGATGCCGATGTTGCTGCGCTATTCGTACACGATCGTCATCAACATCTTCTTCGTCCGATTGTTCAGCTAGCGTATTATACGTTTCAACGATTGGACGTTGTCTATAATCATCTCTATGACTCATCATTGGATTTCTTAATGATGGTTGATCACTGATACGTCGAAAGGTTCTCGGTCCTTTACCAACTTCACTAGCTATTTCCAAATAGTCTTGATCATGCATTTCTTGTAATTCGTACATACTATGTATTGTTGATTCATAATCATAATTTGATGGTGTAAATCTCACAGAACGTGCCATACTACCACTCACTATTGAACTTCCATCATTACCACCTCCACGACTACCATCTTTAAGAAGATTTCGTCTAACAAGAACGGAGCGACGTTGACGAAACTTTTTACTAATTGATGCTGGCATGCCTTCAACCTAAATTATCAAATAAGTAATGCATTTTAAATAAGATTGACCGTTATTCTTCGATAAATAATACCTGAACTATTGTACGTGGTAACGGGAACTTTTTTGTTTCAGGTAAAAGTAAAGCTAATGCACCAATTACAAGTGACAAAAGTCCATAAACGAGACGAGGCATCCAGTCGTTCAATCCACCCTACGACAGATGAACAAGGAAAAGTAAATGGTTATTCTTCTAATCACAATAAACATACGATATTTTCTGCCGCTAATGCTATACCAATCCAACGAAACATATAACAAATAGCCAGTGTTGTACATCTATATTTTTTAAATGAAATTCAAAAATTGTTTAAAAGTTGAAATAATTCTTTATGTGACAGACTAGATACCTTAAACCAGTTGGAAATAGTTCACATGTGTACAATAGTACAACAAGAAATGCTCCCCTAGCTGCAAATTTCCCAGTAAGATAGATAATCAACAATATCGTACGGTTGTATTCATTTTCTAAATGAAAAAATGAATCATAATAAGTCTTTTTTTACTGTCTATATCAAAAGCACTAACCAAGTTTTCCAATAACAGAGCCTAGTAAGCAAACTTCACCAATCAGATAGAAGCAAAATGTTGGCCATCTTCTTCCCCATCTAAAATTATAAAATATTTAATAAGTACTCGTATAAAATATCACGATGTGATAATGATAGATTAAAAAAATTGGAAAATTCTGCGTAGCAAAAATAAAAATTTATTTTCACGATATTTGTGATCATAACTCCGCTATTGTGAATCGTTCCACTAATGTGATGAACTTTTGGATGAACTACTGTGAATCCACTATTGTCTCGTACTCACCTATAAACAAATGGAAATGCAATTAAAAATGAAGCAATTCCAACTAAGTGTCGATAAAAATAATTAAGAAAATAATGTCGTGTTAAATGTTTTGTTAAACGCGATGTATCTAAACTATACTCCGTTAATGCACTAACCAGCCTAAAACAAAATAAAAGTAACGTATTAATTACATAAAAAGCATTGAAACTATTTAACCTATTGGATTTTAAAAATCTTTAAAAAACTTATATTCAACCTCTCAAAGCATTGGTTTTATTATGGTTAAATTGAATGACTAACACTTTTATTTGAAGGTAGGGAAGCAAATTCACTTTACAAATGATACATACCATAGTCCACATAATACTAGAAGATAAATTACTAAAATAGGTGATTGAAGGTAGTCGGTAGGATAAAATGTTGACAATGTAGGATGATAATGTTGTCCTAAAATTAACAACAGTTAATAACTGAACATGTGCGAAATAGACAATAATTATTACTAGTTAAAATTTTCATTAGACGTTGTGTCGTTGTTTCTTTTTTTGAATCTGTTTGCAGATCACTAGGATCAAAATCAGGATATTTTATTCCCAATGTAGCTATATCTTCTACAAAGAGTGAAAATAAAATGCGATGATGTATAATTCTTTTGTCTTTTATTTTTATTGTTTTCTTACATACCTAACCTTAACAATGGTTGAAAATCACATTGTATCGCTTTTGAACGTTTACCACGAAGAAAAACATTTGCTTCTCGAAATAAATTTTGAAATGCTACTCCATTGTAATCAGCTATTTTTGTTAAGGTGAGTACAGCTGATATATAATCTTTTTGTGTTGTAAACCAAAACATTGACTCTTCTGTACACCTTAAAATAATTGAATCAATATTACAATATTGTTAATGAATAAAACGAACTAAATCTACCATAATAAAACAGTTGTGGCAACTAATGGTAATGTTATAGCAGCTTGTAAAATTTTCCAATTTTTAATTAACATTGCTAACCAAGGTAAAACAAGATCAAAGATAAATACAGCACCACCCAAGCATAAAACATAAATAGCTCTTGAATTAATCGGAAACATCTCGATAACAAATGGTACTAGTATTACTTGGACGGCACCAATAAATATTCCAACAAAAAATATAAAAAATACGTAAGATATGTAATCATCACTTAATAATTGAAACACGGATAATGCACAAGCGGACCACATTGAGCCTACGAATAAAATTGACAAAAGGGTGACATAGGACTATTACAACTGAAAAACAGTATGCCTTCACTTGTATCTTTCAATTACGTAAGAGTATTCATGTTTATTCTACCTAATAAAAGCATTTTTCTTCCGCTATAATCAGCCATATAACCGAATACTAGTCCACCAATAATTAAACCGACAATATAAACAATATATGGAATCTTGATTCTGGTATCATCGCAGAGGATATCGAACTAAAATAAATTGTTTAGTTGTTGAACAGTGTACAAATATGTGTGAAACTTTATACTTGTGTAAGAACTGTTGAGCCATATTCATTGCTATAAGAATATATAGACTTTAGACTTTTTGTGCTATTTTCAAACGAATTATTATAAGTGGATATCGTTCCAATAGGATGTGTACAATTAAGGTCTGGTGGTGATAAAACTATACGAATTGAGAACTAAAGTCTTGTCAAATGAATAATTCAAATACATTTAAAAAATACATACGAGCAAAAGTTGGTACATTATTAAGCCATGATCCTATCACAGCATAACCAAAACATAAAACTAAATATGCACGCAGTTGATGTTTACCAATAAAACCGGTAAAGGTACTTTTCAATGCTTTATCCGAGTCCCAACTTCGTTTTAACGTTTTAACACTTCTTAATACACGTGCCATTACTGTAGTGGTTGGACTAGAAGTAAGTGTATTGCCAGCTGGTTCTAAACGAAGATTATGTTCAGTTACTTTCATTTTGATCTATGATTTCAAAACGATTCGATGGTTTTTGAAATATGTGATATTGTGAAGGTTATCTAACAAAATATCAATATATATCATCAACCTTATACATCGAGCAAGGTACAAGAGCCCAATGGGTCGAGTACCATGTATAGAAATAAAACCAATTACACAACAATTACACCTCGAACTCTAAATTATTATTTCTTTAATAGACAGTTTTAACTCAAAGAACTTTTCGGATATACAAGAAATGTGTTTGTATGATAAATCCACAGATAAATCTACAGATAATTACTTTTAACGTCTATAGTCACTACACTCTAAAAAAAAGGTATTTCAAAAAACCCTAAAAAGTATTCTCCATTTGAGAAAAATCAAAAAAAAGGTATAACCACATGTGAAAAACGTTTAAAGGGTATAACCATTTGAAACATATCATAACTGTTTAAAAGTTTCTTATTCTTATCAAAAAACTAATTTTCGTTTTCTAAAATACGGCTAAATTATGTTCTGAAAAACGGTTGAGGTTTCTTCATGTCACAAAAAAATCTTTCAGATATCTTACAATACCAAATCAATTCAGGATTTTTTAAATCACGGCTTTTTCATATTCTAAAAATGCCAAAGGGTTTTTCTGATAAAAGTAAAAAACGTTTAAATAGTTATGATATGGTTCAAATGGTTATACCATTTTTCGTATTTTATAATACCTTTTTTTTTAGAGAGTAGGGATAATAAAAATGATTACACACTTCTCAATCACCTGAAATCCTAAATGACGACTGCTGAATTTTTATTTAATTTTAATTTTTTATTTAAAAAATAAAAAGCTTTCCTGACAGTTATTGAAATTAAAGAGCGGGAAACGATCTCTGTGACAAAATGACTCACTATGACTTTCAACAGAAATGATCCGGAGTCACTAGATATGCTTCGCTTTTTACATCACATCATGTTTAATTCCTTTTTTAGAATATTATTTAGTTTTGAATGGCTTATGTATTTCTATTGTAACCGCAGATTTTGAGTGATAAGTTGAAGGTAAATG